TCAAAGTTTTTCCGTATTGAGTCAGTTTTGTTTGTTTTTTAGGAATTTTCCCAGTTTGTCTAAATTTGTTAGTGTAAAATACAGTATTTCCTTATGACCCTTTTTATTTCTGTAATGTCAGTAGTGATGTCCCCTCTTTTATTCTTAATTTTAGTAGTTTGAGTCATCTCTTGTTTTTTTCTTGGTTAGTCTACTTAAAGTTTTATTAACTTTGTTGATATTTTCAAAGAACCAGGTTTTTGTTTCATTTATTTTCTCTAATTTTACATTCCCTCAGTTATTTCTGATATAATTTTTGATATTTTTGCTTATTTTGGGTTTAGTGTGCTCATATTTTATTTTATGGTTTCTTAAGGTAGAAGATTATTCACTTAAGACCTTTCTTCTTTTTTATCTAGTAATTTATAGCTATAAAATTTCCTTCTATGTTAGCTTTATCTCATAATTTTGATATGTTGGAATTATCCCGGCTGGCGCCATGGCTCACTAGGCTAATCCTCTGCCTTGCGGTGCTGGCACACCGGGTTCTAGTCCCGGTTGGGGCGCCGGATTCTGTCCCGGTTGCCCCTCTTCCAGGCCAGCTCTCTGCTGTGGCCAGGGAGTGCAGTGGAGGATGGCCCAAGTGCTTGGGCCCTGCACCTGCATGGGAGACCAGGAGAAGCACCTGGCTCCTGCCATCGGATCAGCGTGGTGCGCCGGCCGCAGCGTGCTGGCCGCGGCGGCCATTGGAGGGTGAACCAACGGCAAAGGAAGACCTTTCTCCCTGTCTCTCTCTCTCTCACTGTCCACTCTGCCTGTCAAAAAAAAAAAAAAAAAGGAAAAAGGAATTATCCCTAAAATTTTTCAAATTTCTGTCTTTGACTTCTAATTTTATTTCATTTATGTTGGAGAACATACTTTGTTTAATTTCATTCTTTCCAGGTCTATTGATGATTGTTTTATGGCTCCGCATGTGGTCTGTCCTGGAGAGTGTTCTATGGATGCTTGAAAAGATTGTACTTTCTCCTGTTATTGCGAGGAGTGCTCTATCGATACCTAGTAACTTTATTTATTTTATAGTATTCTATCTTTTTGATTATGGGACATCTTTTAATACTTTTTATTATATACATATATTATTCTAAGACATACAATGGATCTTAACCTACCAGAATCTACTTAAGATTTATATCACTTTAATTTCAGTGATATATAAAAACTCTACTCCTAAATAGATGCCTTACTTCTACCACTTTTATACTATTATTATTATGCCTACTATATCTGCATATGTTATGAACCCAGTAACACCATGTTATAATTATTACCATGTTGTAATAACCTACCTTATAGGTTTCATGTGTTAAAAAAATTCAAGAGAATAAAGAACACACATATATGAGAGTACTTCAAAAATATTCATGGAAAAATGGAATTAAAAGATAAGTTTATTTTTGGTGCCAAAGTTTTTGAAATCCATGCATAGTTTTTTTCATAATACACATTGTTGAGAAAGTTGAAGAGCAAAAGGCATAGTGGCTTAACAGGTAAAGCTGCCACCTACAGTACTGGCATCCAATATGGGCGCCGGTTCCAGTTCTGGCTGCTCCAGCTCCATGTTAATGCATGCAGGAAAGTAGGGGAAGATGATCCAAGTGCTTGGGCTTCTGCACCCCTGAGGGAGACCCAGAAGACGCTCCTGGCTCCCAGTTTCAGTCTGTCCCAGCTCCAGCCACTGCAGCCATTTGCGGAGTGAACCAGCAGATGGAAGATCTCTCTCTCTCTCTCTCTCTCTCTCTAACTCTGCCTTTTAATAAATGACTAGACCTTAAAAAAAGTTGAAGAGTATTTGTATTTGTCAAGTTTATCCTATCAACGCTGCATTTCTTGTTCTCCTTGTGTCTTCCTGTGGGTTTGAGTTACCATCTGGTATCATTTCCTAACTACAAAACAGCTTTGTACTCACCCACATCCTCTGTACTCTCGTCAAAAGCAGTACATTTCTACTGCTAATGATACTATTTTGTAAATATTTTTTATGCAATCACACTTACAATCAGTTAAGAGAAGAAAGGAGAAGAAAAATGCTTTCATTTTGTCTTTTAAAAATGATCTACTTTTCATGGGTGCCGGTTCGAGTCCCGGCTGCTCCACTTCCTATCCAGCTATCTGCTGTGGACTGGGAAAGCAGTAGAAGACGGCCCAAGTCCTTGGGCCCCTGCACCCACGTGGGAAACCTGGAGGAAAGTCCTGACTCCTGGCTTCGGATTGGTGCAGCTCTGGCCGTTGAGGCCATTTGGGGAGTGAACCAGTGGAAGGAAGACCTCTCTCTCTTTCTCTCTCTCTCTCTGCCTCTCTTTCTCTCTCTGTGTAACTCTGACTTTCAAGTAAATAAATAAACATTTTTAATAAAAAAAGAGTGTTCCAAATTTCTCTGAGCGTCTGTTCATTTTTGCTCATTTTCCTCCTTTTCTTTTGATTGTACAGTCTCTATCCATCTGTCTTCAAGTTCATTCATTATTTCTTCAGCCAGCTCAGGTTCATTGTTTGCCTGTTCTGGTTTACAATAACCTTTTTCAATTATTTTTTTCATTCATTGCCCAGATTTATCTATATATTTTATCTACTTATATTTGATAAGATATTATCACACCTTCTATTTATTTTGTAAACATGACTTTCTTTGGAACTTTGAATATGTTTATAATAGTTCTTTTTTTTTTAAAGATTTATTTATTTACTTGAAAGGCACAGTTACAAAGAGGCAGAGGGATTGAGAGAGAGAGAGAGAGAGAGAATGAGAATCTTCCATCTTCTTGTTTACTTCCCAAATGGCTCCAATGGCAGGAGCTGGGCTGATCTGAAGCCAGGAGCTAGGAGCTTCTTCCAGTTCTCCCATGCAGGTACAGGGGCCCAGCACTTGGGACATCTTCTACTGCTTTTCCAGGCCATAGCAGAGAGCTGGATGGAGCAGCCTGGTCTTGAACCGGTGCCCATATGAGATGCTGGCACTGTAGGCAGTGGCTTTACCTGTTATGCCACAGCACCAGCCCCTATAATAGCTCTTTGAAATGTGCCTGCCAAGCCAAACATCTGGGCCCACTTAAAGATAATTTCTATTGTCTATGTTTATTCCTTTATATAAGTCAGACTTTCTTATACTTTGCATATCTCATGATTTTTTTGAATAACAGATATTTCAGGTATTCTATTTTAGCAATTACAAATAGTACTCTACTGTGGGGCTTGTTATGGTTACTTGTGAGGTGGATAGATGAGTTCAGTGAAGTCTCTCTGCCCCTATTACTGTCAATGTGTAGCTCAGATGTCATGCCTCAGAGGATGAAGATTCGTAAGGGATGACTGTTTTTATACAGGCCATCTTTTACTGTCTGTTTTTCACATCTCTTCTGGCTAGTCTGCTTCTACTTGTATCACACCCAGTCCTTAAGCTTACAAGTTGCCAACTGGTGGTACTATTCTTTGTGCCAGTTCTGATTCATGGTCTTATCCAATTCAGGTCAGGTCCTGTGATGGGGTAGAGAGATGCCAGTCTTTGAGGTTAGCATTGACCCTACCTGGCAGAACCCTCTGTACTATGGAGCAGGAGCTGAGGGTGACAAGAAGCTCAGTCTTTGCCGGCTACTCCAAACCAATAATCACTGTCAAGATGTGAAGGTTGCGGGTGGAAGATGGCAGGAACTGGTGCTGCCACCTAGTTACTGCCACCACCCTAGATGGATCTTCCACAGCCCAGAGCCTGGGAAAATGGAATCTGCTGGAATTAAGTGTCTAGTAAATCTACCCAAGATAGATCTGGCTTGGGAAGATGGGAAAGATGGAGCCTACCTCTTGATTGCTGATCTCACTGAAGTAGGTCTTTCATAACACAGAATTGTTCTAGAAGAGGAACTACAGCCAACCCTTGACTGAGAGTCCCTCTCCAGATCTTTCCTACCTAGTGGCACTTAGGAGTGGGAAAACAAGCACTGTCTGGCTGAGGCTATTTACTCAATGAAGACATTCTACTGTGTGTAGCTGTTGAAAATGGGATCTGCCAATGTTCTGTTGCTGCCAAACCACCCACAATAGTTCTTCTACCCTGGAAACCTGGGAGGCTGTCATTTGGTTACCCTACTTGTTGGAAGAGTTATACATAAAGGATATAGTATGTAGACCCAGTGCCATGGCCTTCTGCTGTTCTTCAAGAATTTTCATAGCTTTTGTTGAATAAATGCTTATTTGTGGCATGCCCATTGATCAATCTTCAGAGATTTTAAATGATTGTCTTTATTGTTTTTAGCCAGCTTAGTAGTTGGCTCATTGAGAGTTTCCTCCTCTACATTCTATCAACCCTGCATCAGCTATTCTGCAACTTTCTACACAGTTTTATCACTTCATGGGACCCTATTGCCTCCTAGCCAGCCTTTTTGTTGTCTCTCTCTCTTTCTTATCAATATAGATGATTCATATAATTTGAGTCAGGCCAGTCCTTTTTTGGACAATTGTAAGGATTAATGCTTAATGCTCACATGAAGTTTAAACTTTTCAATATACTTTGTTGATTAGCTCCTTATGTAAAAGAGGTCATATTTCATTTGTATCCCAGCTTGGACTGTTCTAACTGAATTTAACTTTTATACCAAAATGTCACTTTTTAATGTTTCCCTACATGTATTAATACATTTCACAAAATACTTTATCTTTTGTGTTATTTATGCTTTTTCAATGTTAAATATTTTAATAAATTCTCAATACCATTTTCTATGTTACATTTTAACATTCTCATTTGTATTTTAGGTTTAAGTTTTAACCAAAACATAAGTTTCATAAGTGTATTATTTTTAAATTAATGTTTGTTAATTTAAGGCACATTAAACTTTTTCCTTGTATGAAATTAGGCATTCCAACTATTTCTTTTGTTTCATTGTCCATATTTCAGGATTCAATATGATCAGATGATAACAGGCAGACATTGGAATATTACTATAAGGTAAAATTTACTGTAAGAGTTGACTTACTTTGTTGAACAACCATCAAACATTCCAGTGTTCATGAGATATGGGCAGACAATGGTGGTTTTGATATCAGTTTTCTTTTGCAAACTTAATTCCAGGAATAGAGACTCAGCAAAGCCAAAGGCTGCAAATTTGCTTGCAGAATAATCTGTAACAGTAGAAAATGATGAGACACAGAGCTAGACAAGTGAACTCTAGGGATTATTTTAAAAATTGAGCCTGCCTCTCCTTTTCTCTAGTTTGGCATTGAGGTCAAAGCATCACTGTTAAAGTTGTTTATGTGAGCAAACAATCCACTTCTATATCTCCACACTATGCACCCAACACTAAGAGGGATATCATTTCAGTGTCTCAACCTAAGAATACCAACGAGCCAATATACTCATTCCATCTTCCCATATTACTGCCATTATAAATAGGGAAATGGAATGGCATGCAGTATGGTAGATACAGTCAAATGTTCCAGAGATTTCCCCTTGGTACAAGAAGAACTTCTCTGTATCTTGGAAGAGTCCTGATTTTCAAAAATGTTGACTGCGTAGATAGGCATTTGATTAAACAAAGCACTCACCTGAGAGTCCTTTGATGCCAGCTAGCCCTGCTACACTTGAAATACAGACCAAATGGCCATGGTTAGCTTTAATCATGGCAGGAAGAAAAGCCTTGCAAGTCTGAAAGATAGGAATACACTGTGTTAATATTTAATTCATTGATAACTTTACTTCTTAGGTATTATATAAATTTAGCAATTCATTTAACAGATACTTATTTAACATTTATAATGTGTTAAATTTTATGCAATGCAAAGTAGGCATCATGTAGCCACTGTTCCCAAGAAGCTTAGGTTTATTTTGTCACTCTCTAAGAGACATTATTTGATTTCTTTTGCCTTTGAAGTAAGCTATACTAATTGGATCAAATAAAGACACATGCAGTTGGTGAAAATTCTTAAAACTTAAGTTTTTCCAGGATACTGAGCTCATACATGTAGCTTTCAGCAGTTTCTATTAAAGTTTAATTGCATTTAGCTAGGTCCTCCCTCACACTGCTGTGTTAGCAGGATGGGAGAAATTGCTTGAGAAAAGGTAAAATTCAATGCAAAGTAAACGCAGCCTGGTAAGTAAAGGACTTTTGAAGTATTAACTATATTTTTCAGCTATTTTGGTAAACTTTAGTTATTCATCCTCTAGCAAGATAATAACCCAATGTTCTAGGTCCCTGTGCCATGGAAGCATATCAATTCTCTTCTTTCTGTACCTCTTAGATTCTCTCACGGAACTTTTCCCTTCTTTCTCCCCTCAATGGGCTTCTTTTGTTTAAACCTTGCTCAAAAGTGATTATCCCAATCTCTGATATAAGACAGAGATGAATGCAATGCAAGTTTTCAGCTAGCTAGAGCAATTTTAAATAAGCTTGCCTGGTGGTCACCTGTCTCTCACAGAGCAAACAAATGTAACTTTGCTTGACCAGTAATTATTTGGAACAAGACACTTCACAATCTTGTGAAATGTAGAAAAATAATAAGTATGTTTTTTTGTCCATTAGAAAATCGTAATTCCAGAAGTAAGAGTTTAGCAATCTTATTTCAGCATTTCTTTTCTCATGACCTATATACAGTGTTTCCCATATTGTCATTTTGCCAGCTGTGTCATTTCACTGGTTCTCCTATAAATGAATTTAAGAAAACCCTGACAATACTCATCACCAATTTCTATGAGATTCATGATTTTACAATGTCAGAATTTTGCATTTATTTTGCTGAGTCTGCAGATAGGTGCTCATTTTCAAACATCTGGGTGTGCTCAGATGTGCTCACCTACAGGGAAATGTCACAGGATCAAAGAATGGCAGTTCTGCTGTGAAATCTTTCATCTTCCACTAACATTGCTCTAGAACTGCTGAACTTATGGATGAGTTCCTACTCACAGACAGACAACTGACCTCTTTTTAACATTTTGTGACAAAGTGGCATGGCAATTTATGTGTAGTGTGTTGTGGTTACAGCATCTTTGTATTTCAAAAATTAAAAACCAGGGTTGGAATTTGGTGCAGCAGTTAAGATGTCACTTTGGACACCTGCATTCCCATATCAGAGTCTGGATTTAAATCCCAGTTCTGGTTCTGATTTTAGCTTCCTGCTGGCATGTATCCTGCGCAGTGGTGACAGCGGAAGTACTTAGGTTCTTGCATCCACTGGGGAGATCTTGACACCTGGCTTCAGCTTGACCCAGCTCTATCTGTTGCAAGCATTTGGCAAGTGAAGATCTCTTTCCCTCTGCCTCTCAAATAAACAAAATTAATAAGTAAAAATAAAGGATACATAGGGTGTTTATTTGTCCTAGTGGTTAAGACACTATATGGGACACTCACATCTCAAAATCAAATGCCTGGGTTCATTTCCCAGCTCTACTCTCCATTCCAACTTCCTGTTGTTGTAAAAACCTGGGTGCAAATAATTAGACACCCAGACTGAGTTACTGGATCTTGGCTTCAACCTGGCCCAACCCTGGCTAGTGCAAGCATTTAGGTATTTTGGAGGTCTCTGTATGTCTGTCTGTCTCTGTCTCTGCTTTTCAAATAAAATAAAATATCAAAAAAAATTAACTGAGATAGTTAGAGATGGCAAGAGCTGGTTGTTGTTTTTCAACTCCAGAGTTGACAGATCCAGGCTGAGCCCCAGCATCATCTCCTGCATGACTGCCTGGTAGACCTGGTAAAATGCAGGGTTCAGACACTGAGGCATCCAGCTGCAGCACCACTCTCCATTGTCTGGAAGCTTATGAAATTATCAAGTAGGTGAAGCTGAGCAATGGAGTTGAAGGTTGAGTTAGTGCTACTTTTATAAGCAATCCTCTGGGTTGAGGTAGTGAAAATCCTCAGCCGACAGGGAGAGAAAGTAGTGGTCTACAGCAGAAACGTTCAGGGTGAGCAGTTTTCTACTCACAGGGGCCTACAACTTTTAGAGGTTTAGTTTTGTGTCCTTTTTCACACGAAAATTTTTTGTGTTTTTTTGCAAATATATCATATGAGCATTTGCTGTTAAACTAGGCCTGACTTTGCCACCAATTTCCTGTGTCTTCAATAGAGAAAAGTTTTCCACCATAGAAGGAAAGTGACTATTTACAGTACTTCCCTCTTATCCATGGAGGGCATGTTCCAAGACCCTCAGCTGATGCCTGAAACTATGAATACCACCAAACCCTAGAATACTATGTTTTCTCCTATTCATTCATATCTATGATAAAGTTTAATTTATAAATTAGACATTGAAAGATACTGACAACACTAAAATAAAAATAGAACAATTATAACAATATACTGCACTAAAAATTTGTGCTTTTTGACATTTATTAAGCACTGCAACACTGTGAGAATTGATCTAATAACCATGACAGCTACAAAGTGACTACTGGGCAGGTAGCATATACCATATGGATTCCCAGGACAAAGAATGATTCATGTCTCAGGTGGCATGGTGCATGAGATTACATATTCAGAATGGTGTACAATTTAAAATGTGTGAATTGTTTATTTCTGGAATTTTCCATTTAATATTTTTGTACTGTGGAAAACTAAGTCTTGGAAATGGGGGGCTGTTCTATAAAAGTGTGTGCTTGAAGTCTTATACATCAATGGAGGGCATTTTTAGGATGTTCTAGAAGGTGAGCTGATTTTAGAAACCCATCATTTGTGCTTCTGGATGGATATTTTCTGTTAAAGGGAGAGCAAAGGAATATAAGTGTCTTATTAGCAATTTGTTGTAAAAATATATTTTAACTTTTGTAAAGTATTTTAATTTATTTGACAGGTAGAATTACAGTTTGAGAAAGAGACAGAGAGAAAGATTTCCTTCCGTTTGTTCACTCCCCAAATGGCCGCAACGACCGGAGCTACGCTGATCCGAAGCCAGGAGCCAGGAGCCTCTTCCGGGTCTCCCATGCGGGTGCAGGGGCCCAAGCACTTGGGCCATCCTCCACTGCTTTCCCAGGCCACAGCAGAGAGCTGGACTGGAAGAGGAGCGACCGGGACTAGAACCCGGTGCTCATATGGGATGCCGGCACCACAGGCAGAGGATTAACCTAGTGCACCATGGTGCCAGCCCCGTAAAGTATTTTTAATACCTTAATAAGTTACCTAGGGATCGAGGAGTACACATTAATCATAATCAAACTAGATCTGTAAAAAGTCTGTGATTTGTATGATAAACAACTTTTTCCTGACTTTATCAGGTTTAGTTAATTTTATTTTATTGCATTTATTTAAGATTTGTGATTTATTTTTGTCTCATGGAAACGTCTAATTCCTGAATCCCTAAATTTTTTCGTAGTGGCTTATGGGTCAGAAACACTTAGCTTTGTTTCCACAAAACATTTCAGGTTATGAAAAATACAAATAAATGCTCAATTGAATTATAACAAATGATGAGTTTACTATAAAACACCAAATTACCAAGTGTGTGGATTTAGTTATTTCACTTTTTTTACTGGCTTTTACAATCTTTCAGTTTCATCTTTTTGACTTTTTTTTATGGCACCAGATACTACAGTTGTTCTTTAGTATCAACCTAAATGGCTTCAAGGTTTTAGAATAATTTTGATTGGGTAAATTTATGAGAAATCTTTCGCTACTCACAAACTTTTGAAGAAGTTAAAATTCAGAGAGAACATGTTTCGAGTAACCAAGAAGAGTTTAAATTTTGTTTTTATAAAACTTCAATAGAGATGGTAAGTTCAATGTAATATTCCTTATCTTGCAATTATGATGGCAAAGTGAATTAATTTTTAATGTTATTGCTGAAAGCCAAAAATGACACCGGGCCTATGTTGTGGTGCAGTGAGTTAAGCTGTGGTTTGTAACACCAGTATCCCATTTCAGAATGCTGGTTCGAGTTTCAGCTACTCTTCTACCAATACAGCTTCTACGAAATATATCTGGGAATGAACTGGAAGATGGCCCAAATACTTGGACCTTGCCACCTGTATGGGAGACCAGGGTGGAGTTACTCCTGGTTTTAGTCTCCCCCCAGACACAGCCACAGTGGTCATTTGGGGGAGTGAACCAGCAAATAGAAGATCTCTCCCTCTCTCTATTTTCCTCTGTTCTCTCTCTGTTGTCTTGTCTTTCAGATAAATAAATCTCTGTAAAAATGATATCATCATATGCTGTGCATATACTTTTGTGTATTTAAGCTCATATACATATATAAATGAATAAATTAGTAAGCAAAAGAAACTTACTGATCATAAATATGAGTGACTTGGAACCTTAAAATTCGTCTTAGAATATTCAGTCTGTTATGCAAAGAGGTATTGAGAGGTTCAACTTTAACATTTTTAGTCTTTCCAGAGAGCAAAGATTCTCATCTTGTCAGATATATGCATAGGCACTTGAGCCATAACTAGCTGTTGTCATGATAGTGAGTTGTTAAATCATAAAAACAAAATTTGTAATTTCTGAAAGAAGTAACCTCTCTTACTAATTGTTATTTATTGCTGGGTTTATTGAAAAAAAAAATAAGACTATTATCCCTCTGGCTATTCAGGTAACCAGTTACAACTATTCAGTTCTGGTTTTGTTCAGCAACATCTCACTGTGGAGGTATTTTGCACTCAGAGTCATCTTTGTCACTTCTTAGCTAACCAAAACACTCAGGGCTCCTTCCCTTAGCTTG